AAGTCGTCACAGTCAGCATAGCTCATTGAGCGTGTAGCCACACAGATACGTACCCTTGTATCAGCGATACTTCCCTGGTCAACGAGTGCACGACCGCGTCGACTTGCGACGGGTCCAAAGTGCTGTGGTCTAGGAGCTGCTGCCGTGCACTCTGAATAGCGCTCGCTTGGGAGACGTCCATATCCGCAACATGGTGCGCCTCTATGTTCTTTGCCAAACATTTAAGCTTGAAGCGGAAGTCCGGCGCGGTCGCATACTTCGGAAGCGACACCTCGATCTCCGCGAGGGAGCCGTCCGTGAGGTACCGAGCGAATGGGACGTCTGCGGGTTCCATTGTCTGCAGGCGCGCGAGGAAGGGGCGCGTCGCCTCGTATACGATGTTATTGTCGACGAGGAAGCCGTACGCATTGTCCGCCTGAATTGCCTGCCGGCGCAGCGCCATGAGCTCGACCTCGGGGTCGAAAAACGACATGCGCAGCTGAACCTTCTGATTGTTCATCCGTGCCGAGTCTGCGAGGTCCCTGCTCGTCGAGGACACGACACCAAGGAAGACCTTCGGGCTCCCGCTGTCGACGACGACAAGCGCAACCAGACTGCCGCACTCGAGCCGCCGATTGTTTCTCCAATACTCGAGCCGCTTGCTCACGTCTTTGTCGCGCGCTGCACCGTTTGGCGGGGTGTCGATGCGAATGCCGACGGTGAGGTCGCGCTTCTCAGCGGCAGCGTACGTGAAAGTAGCGCCAGTATACACGTGGAAGAAAACCGAGTCGATGCCACTGGTCTTGAAAGCCCCGCCGCGGTTGTCGAAGAGCTGCTGGAGCTTAGTGCGTCGTCCATGATGAGAATGAGCCGCAGATTTCTTCGCTTCCTCAAGATCTGCAAAGATAACAGCAATCGAGGAACGAATGGGCGCGCTGCAAAAGTGTACGAGATCAGGAACGGCGATCGCTCGAAGCTCCGATGTTTACGCACACCAACTCCTCGCGTAGCAAGCGGAACTGGCTGTCCAAATGGCGTTCCATGGAGTGGGCAGGTAGATGGTGCGGCGCATCCGATAATGTCACAGGGAGGAACGGTGATGACGACGACAAAAGTTCATCATGTGTCGGGGCAATTCTGATCTCGGATATTTTTGAAGAGTCGTTGTCATGTCGCGGGCCTTGCGTACGGAGATCTCCAGGCGGATCGTAGGCCACGGCTAGCTGCGCGATGCGGGCTTGCTGCTTGTGAAGGAGGGCCATCTGCGACGGTCCGGGCACCTGCTTCTTCCCTTCCTTCTGGGCCAGATCGCGATTAACGATCTCGGCCAGCCTGTCAAGTTCTTCTCTCAATTGGCCGATGACGAGGCGTTTTGTCCTTGGATTCTGGCTTGCGATGGAGTCTTGAAAGGTCGAAGTCATGGACGAGATATCCATCGACCAAGTAGTAAACCAGGCTACGAGACTATTCACCAACCGAACGATCTGGTCTTGATCCCTGGACTCCTTGTACCGTGCAAATAACCTAATCACAGTGAGAAAAATAGGTAGCAGGCACTTCGTGAGACATACTGGAGCAGGAGCGTCGTGAGTGTCCTAAAGAGTACTACTCCTCGCGCAGTACGAGATGGCGTCTTAGGATCAGCCCAGGACTTGGCCGCAATCATGGTGCCCACACATGTGGTGATTTTGTCGCAGATCTTGCTGCAAGTATTGCTAACCACGCCATATAGCTTGCTGCAGTGATCTGTTAGACAGAAAACAGAAAGAGCACAGCGTGAGATACACGACGTACTTGATATTCTTGTGAATAGTACTTTTTAACACAAGATCGGAAGTCAAGAACTGCCAACTGATTGAGTATAGCCGATCCTTCCGGTGAGATGCGCATGACGCACTTCTAAAATTGGAAGATAGCCTGTCTGGAACGAGAGGCAACTGGCATCGCGCCCACTGTCAGACTTCACAGCCTTAAATGCTAAAATATCGCCGAGACGGGCAAGACCATTCTCCTGTAGTCCGTTCATGGTCATGACCTGTGCACCCTGCGAGAGGTAACAGATAAATGCTCACTTTAACAAGCATTTGGACAAAAGACTATGGCGAACCATGAGCAATAGAGACGCCTCCTGCTGAACGTGCAACACACCTGAGCATCATCCGGGCTCTGTACGCGTGTCTCAGTATCCCAAAGTGTTCGGAACAACTAAGCACTTACCCAAGTCTTGTTTCGGGAGTGCACGTTGGCAATGACGTTGGCAAAAGCTTGCATGCGCACAGCAGTAACTAGTCGAATGTCATCCCGAAGAAAAGACAGGATATCATTATGAACTTGGACCGGCGTCGCC